CTTCATCTTTCACGATATTGTTGACCACCTCAAGGTCATAAACCCCTCTCAACTCCATCGCCGCCCTTTGCAGCTCTAAATAACTCCTCAGGACACTATAACAGAGACCATGAATGCTCCACATCGATGTCTGCAGAGTCGCGATAGTCGCAAGACTGATCTCCGAGGGGTTTCGCATGACACGGATAGTGTAGTAAGCCTGCACATCGCGATGGTCAGAGGCCGGATGGGAACACTCAGCGCGAGCTACCAGTCACTCACCATTGGCAGATGATTAATGCAATCTTGAGTCAACGACTGTATGATCAGTCGAAGGTTTTTCGCCCATCCTGCACCTGAGCTTGGGCTTTGTTCCATGAACATAATCTCAGGTGAATCCCTTGCGGTACCTTCCAATGCTCTTGCCGACTTTGCTTGCTCTGGACGATGTTGAAGTAGGAGTAAATAGACCTGAGGCGGGGAGGCGACAAAGACTCGGACTCACGATTGATAACGTGTTCAACCAGATTCCCACTGATAATATCCATCTTGTACTCTTTCTCGACGAGTCCTGACCACGATGCAGATCGATGAAAGTCCTCATTCGTCGTCTCTACCACACGTGCTAACCATAAACAGTCAGTAAAGTTTTGAGCCAGGCGCGCGAACAACATACGTGTGGACATGATCCAACTCCTTGCTCCAAGACCCAAAAACAACCCATACACCCGTCGAGTGTAGTCGGGTAGGAGAATAGGTATCACCTCCGATAATGGCCGTACAAGACACAGAACAGAGAACGTCATCCCCAGTCCCAATCTAGGACTGTTGATGTTCGTCGTAGAACCAGGCCCTCTGATTCCGAGTGACAGGAATCCGACGTGACCAACAATATGAAAGAGCTCCGTAACGATCTCCAGTGTACTCCTGACTGCGTCGTCTCCGCCACCATGCTGGATAGTGTAATCTTTTTTGTCTAGCGTCATGTTTTAGGCCAGATTCTGGGTTTGGAACTTAGTGGGGCAATTACCTTGGAGAGTGGTTGGGAGATCCATACGGAGTTTCCCTGAAAGTACGCCGTGAGAGCTAAGTATAGGGATAATTCAACAAGAGTGGGCTTACTCACCAGCAAACATAATCCCATGAAAGTAGTTCCCCACACGCGCGTTGAGCGGCTCACTCCCGACATGACTATGTATACGAACATCAAGTTCAGGGGTCACGGTTCCGAACGCCAAAGAAAGAAGAAAAAGTAGTGCGCACCACCAACCCACGACAGACGTAGTCACCTTCTGCATAATCGATCGAAAAACAACCGCCATGATGAGGGTCCTCGTATCCAGATATCGATTGGTGATGGCATTCTCAAACTATGAGCCCATTCATCAGAACACCACATCGACCAATGAAAAAAGAAAGTACTGCACTCACAACGCGAAGAATTCGACTCGCCAAGACCCCGTCCATTACTGGTAGAATCCCACTTACAACATGGCCCAAAACACTGAAAGCCACTGGACCGGCAGCGATATGGATTATATCTCGGAAGAATCGTCTTAGGACGCTCCACGTCGCGTTCTGATCCCGACTCCTCAAAGTCCTCATCCTCGTTTTGGTGGAATGAGATTTTGCATCCTTTTCGATGAACATCCGCCATATTCCAAGATGGTGTTCTTCTAGTTTGGAGTCAACGTCAAGTTCAGCGTCTTGGTGTGAGACGACCAGGGTGTCATTAGCCAGCTTTTCTTCCATCGTGGGGCGTTGAGGGGTGATGGTGGGGGGAGGTGAAGTGATACAACGATACAACTTGCAAGAAGCGCCGAGTCGAGGGGAGGTATTCTTTTTGCTGTACAACAGATCAACCTACACCGGTGACTTGTCATCTTGAGTGAATGTAGGTGGCATGCCGCCCTGTCAAGACTTGCACATATATAGAAGGCAGGCTGTGTGATAACGATCTAGTGTCAATAACGTCCGACCAGCCTGAGAGAGAGAAGAAATGAACGAATATACGCGGTTGAAACACGGTGGGTATCCTGTCAAACTGATCTTTGCTCCATTTGATTCGATATTCCTCCCCATGAACCCTTCACCGCGATGACCGGTAATAGCTGTTAAGCTCGCACAACCTAAACGCAAATTCTGTGCTGTGCTTTTTTTGGTGGCTCACATGAGTCGCCGTACGAAAGAAGGCATGGTGGAAGGTGGCCGGTGGTATTGTGGAGCAAGAAACCGAGACATATGAGCGCGAGCTAGACCTTCAGGAAGATACAGCAGTCGGAATGACACTGAAGACATGGGTCAGTGTGAATCGTCACGACAAAAAAACAATCGTCTGAACGTACTCAATGAATTTCATCCCATTTCGGCCCATTCCCCACCCTCCTCGAGATTTTCCCCTCCATCTCTACTGATGTGTGCTCAGATTCTGTAGGGTATCACGATCCACCACGGTTGTCGGAGAGTTGAAGTTCAGATCAAAGGTGTGCTGTAACAAATGAAACAATTTGCGTTGAACAATGAACAGTTGGCGGAGCTCGGTGCTCCGATTCGTCCGTCCGGGCCGTTTTCTTTGTTGTGGGTGCATGTGTAAGCAAACTTCGCGCCGACACGCTCACAATGAAGTCAAACACTGTCACTCGAGCTCGCACCAGTAACCCGTTCAAGAAGAGGCAAGTCGATTCAAGACTCCTTTAGGCACGCTTGCTGGCGCTTGTTTACATCCCAGCCACTTCCAGACAGCGGCCATCAACTATGGCTAGACGCCCACCTCTGGTGATGATGTTTGGGCAACATCAACACGTTTTTCGACACACCACAGCAGTTATCATCTCACGATTTCAAGAAGCTCTCTCATGACTTCCTCCACCCTCATTTGGCTCAATTAACGTTCATCCAACCATCTGGGGAGTAAATAGTTTTCCGACACGGCCGACCGCGCGGCCCGTCGAGGATGATGTCTATAGAGCACGCCCACTCTCATTGGGGTATACACTACAGCAGTGACCATGGAGCTCACCAGAATATCAATTAACAAGGATACCAAAACGTCAATAGCGGGAGGGCAAATCGGCCAGGTGACTGGAGGAGCGGTGAATCAGACTCACAATAATGCAGGTCGAGACTTGATTAACATGATCAATGCGACCATTTCTGCCCGTGAGTCACTCGCTCATTCTTTGCTTCACGTCGCTCAATGGGTTTTTACAGCATACCCCAGCCTCTGGAACCCAATCATCGGCGTTGGAGATCTGACCAACAGTTTGAGCGAGGAAAGTGTCTCCCAGGAATCCGTTCGGAAGCGCTAAAAACAGAGCGGACTCCAGAGAAGACGATGAACATGCATCTGTCAAAGAACCCGAGTCGAAATGGATGGTGACTCTCGCTGGAGTTTCCACCAAGTATTTCAAGGTTCATATCAAGTGATTCCGTCCCCCGCTTGCGAGAAGCCCTTCACATCCGGACCATACTCGATCTACAATTCTTCACTGAGTTGAAAGCCTCTGAGCCACGTAACGAATAAAACAGTGCATTGAATTCGTATAGACAAAAAAAAGTCATCCCGTTCGTGGCAGCTGATTCGGACAATTATTCGTGTCGGCCGCGGGTTGCTCGGTGTCTTTTCGATTTTAATTATAAAACCCAAGGTGCGAATCAAACACGCAAGCTAATCCATCGTACAGATTGAAAGAGCGAGAATCGGCTTTGAGGGGGAAAAAACCAGGTGCAAGTCCAAAGTTTCGAAAGCGGCAAGTTTTTTAACTACTCCCACACAACACAACACAACACGACCACTTCTCAATTCGAGGCGGTCCTGTCCACCGGTTAACCTTTGAACACCGAGGTGCTGACTATCTTTGATTTTTGTGACCGTATGGTAGGGTTCGTCCGTCCGTCCGTCCTTTATAGGATGGATCATGAGTATGCATTGTCAAAGTCAGAGTATGGAATCTGACCCGAACCTTTTACACATCTAGGCCGTCCTTCAAAACTCATCAAACCCATTGTCTTGATTGAAGGTGAGATAAAGAGAAGTGAAGAGCCGGAGGGGGGGGAATCGATCGTGGAAGTTCAAAGTCTAAGCGCCCGGCTTTCGACTAGGGATTGAAGCGTTCACGCAGTCGAGGTGCCGCATGGGCCGCAGGGGGTTTGAAAGTTCTCCGCGGACCGCTAGGAAGGGAGAGAGAGATAGAAACACAAAGTGTTGTATGCTAATGATTTGAACCAAAATACGCACCTTGACTCGACGCTGTATCGAAATCCCATCGTCCTCCTGTAAGCACAACTTGGAAGCTATCCGTCCGGACTTCACTGCGTCGAAAGGCGGAACAAATGAAGCACTGGGTCAGTTCGTGGTGGGATCATCATGTTATATGTTGTATGGCACGACCTTAACGAGAAACGAAAGCTTCTCAGATCCACTCGATAGTTTAATATCAGGGGAACCAGACACGCACCGCCGGCATGGGTTCGAGTTGGAGTGGGTCTTACAGAGAGAACGGTCAAGAGTGTTGGAATTGAATATCGAGATGCGAGTCTTCCGTTCCGTTTAGGAGGCGAGGTGAGGAAATTAACTATGATGAAGACTAGAAGATGAATAATAGCCTAGTAGTATCATCTTCGGGATCTGGGGGAGTACTACTTGTGTGTTGCTTTTTCCCCCGTTTTGTTAGATTCTGCATGCTCCTTCGATACGATCACGACTTGGGTTTTTTCTTGGGAATAACGATGGTCGTGCTGAGAAACAGAAAAAGGCTCGGAGAATCAGAACATCAGATTCCCTTCCGCATCCAGCCTAACCAGTCAGTTACTGAAATGAAAAAAAAAAAAAAAAAGGTGAATCGCACGCACAAATCAGACTCGTCACTAAGACAGGGTGCTCCACTAAGGAGGATGTAACGCGGGTTTGAGAAGTCGAGGTCGATGATGGGGGTACAGCTCCAAGAGCAACTCGGGTTCATTCACACATTCTACCGGCAGCCTCTCATTGTCAATACAAACCGATTTCTACAACGCCTTGAACACCGTTGGTGAAGTGGTTATCATGCTTGCCTTCCATAATAAGGATCTCGTGCATCGTAGCAAGCGGCTCGGGTTCGATTCCCGAACGGTGTATGGTCTGTTGAGGGGAATGTTTTTCGTTACACTGTCCTCCATCCTCTTGGAGGGATTCATGATCAGTACTCAGTGTTGTTCGGGGTTGATGCAACTTTAGATTCAAAAAAAAAGCACATCGCCAGTACTATATTTGCACTAGAAGTGCAAAAAGAAATGTCGCTATAGAAAAACTTTTTCATCTCTTTCCCGTTCGCGCTACAACGTTGTAGACTCACACTTGGTATGCTGAAGTCTACCTCTGTGAAGTTACAGATTTTTTAGAGTGAAAATGAGCGATGCCAGAACAATCCGAGAGAGGTGTTCGAATAAGCGGAGAAGTGCAAAAGTGACAGACCGTGACGTTTGGCTTTGACAGGTAGATCCGACCTAGCCGAACGATCGGCAACTTTGACATGGGATCAAAAGAGCACCTGTCGGCTTGCTGAGTTTGAATCCATTGTGCCTGTGTGGTTGGCGTCCTCGAGAGTCCATTCATCCCACTCATTATAGAGGCTCGGGTGTGTGCGGTGAAAGTGTGAAATCATCCCGCCTATACGAGAATCATTATTGAGGAAGTGCGGTCCCGTAAAATTCTTTTTTTATGGAATCCGAAGGCTGTCACGCCCAAAAACTCACGATTTGCGCCAAAACAAAAATCTGCAACTCGTATTTCCTCATGGATCACCATTCAACATAGCAAGATATGTGGATATAGGTCCCATTGTATCTAGAAAAATTTGTGGAAGCCAGCTGGTTGGGATAGATGGCACACTACTCGAAATTCACGAATTTTTGCACTTCTAGGACACTTTTCACTTCTAGTGCAAATATAGTAAGATCACATCGGAAAGTGATTACCACCTGCTCACACAATGATGACGAAAGTGTCGATGTGATAATGAGCCTCTTTAGCCGTAAGTTTTAGTTCTGTAGCGCAGGAGAACGTACAAGACGCGTCGAGATCTCGTCGTGAGCCGCGTGTTCGAGTGGGATGGCTCCGGGCCGGTGTTTCTGTCTCTGACTCTCACCACGACCATCGATGTTTTTTTCCCACTCGTCATTTTCTTCGACCCATCAGCAGCTGTCCTTTACAAATGGATCATCTCAGTTCTCACGAAGTTAGCTCGATAAAACGTCTATCGATGCCACTTGACCGTCAACCATGTCCACCTCGCTCCCATACACACCGCTCTACATAAACGGTCAGCCCGTCAAGACCACCCAATCATTCGATATCCTCACTCCAGGTTCCCTCAAATCCGTCGGCACCTGTGCCAGTGCATCCTCTCAGAACTGTCAAGACGCCATTACTGCTGCCCGCGGTGCCTTCAAAGGCTGGAGTCAAACCAACATTAGCACAAGAATCCGTATATTCATCCGAGCTGCCGAGTTACTAGAAGGAGAGGGAGGAGACTGGAAAGACCGAATCATGACCTCCATAACCGAAGAAACCGGCGCCTCCCTTGAAATGGCCATGTTCAACTACGCAACCGCAGCTGGATTCCTACGAGCCTGCGCCTCGATTATCACCACCCAACTCGGCAGCCGCACATTCCCCTCATCTCGTTCCCCCTCCATCGACGTCTACACAGAAAAACACCCACTCGGTGTCATCTTCACTCAATCCCCCTGGAACGCACCGGTCGCCTTAACCCTCCGAGCAATCACAATCCCCATCCTATGCGGCAACACCGTCGTCTTCCGACCCTCCGAGCTCTCCCCTCGTTCCTGCTCAATCGTCTACGAAGTCCTCAAAGAAGCTGGATTACCCGACGGTGTATTCAACTTCCTCTCCATCAGAAAGGAAGACACACCTACCTTGACAGCTGAAATCATCGCTGACCCTCGAGTTCGAAAAGTCACCTTTACGGGTTCAGACCGCGTTGGCAAAATCATCGCCATCGAATGCGCTAAACACCTCAAACCTTGCGTTCTCGAACTAGGCGGGAAAGCACCCGCGATCGTTTTAGACGATGCACCCGTTGGGATGGCAGCCAGACAGATCTTGGCGGGTGCGACGATGCATAGTGGACAGATATGTATGTCTACGGAGAGAGTGATCGTACAGAGAGGTGTGGTGGAGGAGTTTACGGAGGAACTGCTGAAAGTTGCCAGGGAGTTGCGGGATAAGGGGGCGTTGGGGACGTTATTTGCGGAAGGTCATGCAGAGAACGTGGTGGAGATGATTAGGGAGGCGCAATTGCGGGGCGGGGCGCAGGTGTTGTTGGGCGATGTGAAAAGGGAGGGGAGTGTTGTGGATCCACATGTGGTGTTGATGGATGAGGATAAGAGTCGGAAGAAGGGGTTGGGCATATGGGAGAGGGAGTCCTTCGGTCCTGGTAAGTGTGGTGGATTTCTGAGCTGCCCGTCTATACTGACAACGGCCTACAGTGCTCACTCTCACGACTGTCGACACCGTTCAAGAAGCTATCGACGCGGCCAACGATTCCGATTACAGCTTGACAAGCTCAGTCTGGACGAGGGATCTATATCAGGCGAGGAGGATCGCCAAGGCCGTTCGAGCTGGGTATACGAACATCAACGGCAGCACCATACACTCCGAGCCCGTCTTGGGCTTGATTGGGCTGGGGTGCGTACCATATCATCCAACCGTATCTCTCACAACGTGTATGCTAACGACCCCCACCTCACAGCGGCTCATCCGGCTACGGCCGCTTCGGCGTAGACGACTTCACCTACGAAAAATGTATCGTTATTCATCCTGATCCCGAGCCAGAGGCTTAAAAATGCACAAAATACCTGTAATTTGTAATTGTATTCTACCCGATATTTAAATCGAAAGAGAGAGCCATACTGACCTTATACGAGTGAGAAGGACTGAAAAGAGAGAAAAGTTTACAAAAACTTTGTGTTCCGCCTGGTCGATTACACCGTTCGGGAATCGAACCCGAGCCGCTTGCTCAAAGTGCCATATATACAGTCTGACCGAGCAAATGGAAGGCAAGCATGATAACCACTTCACCAACGGTGTATTGAGTAGTAGGTGGAGTTTGGATTGACATCGACATTGATATTGAAAGCCGAGTGTGAGCCGCTGACTTGACTCTACACTTCCACCACGGCTTCAACCAGTAGAGACACCGAAATCGGAGTGCAAGGAGAGGACAATGGGTCAGTCTAGCTCCTGAAGCAAAATTCTGCCAACCAGCATGGAACTCTTTTCTCCAACACTGCGCACAGTTTGGCACATTGTCATGTGTATCATACCCAAGTCCTCAGTCTTGCAATAAGTAGGTACATGTGGCGCACGATGACTTATTCGTCGTGTTGATGCCCACTGATGGTGAAGTTGTAGCATATAGGTGCATGTGTATATGAGAAAACTTCGAATTCCGGCTGAGGCCTTGAGGCCCAGCGGGGTGGCTCGAATCGGAATATGCCTGCCCCTTACCGTACATTCACGGCTTGACGTTCTCGTTGCTTGACTCGATCAGCGATTTATTTCATGGGTTTCATCACCCAACGTGAAATTGTTGGGTATGGCCCGAGTCCTCGGGCACTACTGGATGCTCCTCAAGGACACCCAGCCTTGCGGCGAGCACTGAGTACCTACTCATCAATTCTCGTCATCGCCTCGACTCGCGGGTGGTACTTGAGGAGGGAAAGAAAGGACTGGAATCGGCAGGGCGGCGAGGGCACTCGCATAGTTGACTGGAGGCCAGTCGGCTCTCCCAATCGGGATGATCAGTCTCTGGTTTAGCGTTTCTATGGTTTATTGGTGAAAGATAGATTGATGGTTTGAGCTAAGGTTCGGGCGCCATGGATTCGAGCCTAACCCGTGATTTTGGGGACGATCCATATGCGTCGATGCAAAGATCTGCTGACTGGCTCTGATTCGAGCTCACTCAGCCGCTGAGTCTGATCAGCTCGTGAATCGTGCTTGCTAGTAATACGAAAAGTTGAGTACATCTAAGTGCTGACGTACCACGCTGGTTTGAAATTGTTCCGTGGTCGAAGATGGAATAAACGTCAACATCCATGAATAAGGGGTACACCCCCATCCACCTGCGACAAGAAACCAAGCTTTAAGGCTCTGGCTCAGAATCCAGCCGGGAGGCTGGAGCTTTCAGTGTCAGGGCTCAACCCGCCTTCAACGCTATACTAACGACGGCCCAAAAAACCATATTACCACATTTCATCCAGCTGCCCGTACAGATAACCATCTGAATCCTACTTGAATACTTCATACTATAATTCAAACACATACAAGGATACTACTAGTGCGCCAAAGGAAAAGAGTCCAGCGGTCCATAATCAACGAACTATCGATCACAATCGTCATCAGAGTCTACGTTGGAAGAAGAGTCGGATCCTGATCCTTGATCGTTCTCGCGTCGGTGCATAGACACCATTTCGAAATCGGTCCCTCCCGTGGTAGTGTTACTGCTGTCACGAGTCTGAGTGGGCTCTGCCGGCGCAGGAACGCGAGCCTATGGAATGGGCGTGTTACGTTGAACTGTACACATCACAGTCAGCACGATTTTGAACAAAGGAAGAAAACAGCAAAGGCTTACAAAATTACTCGGATCAAGAAGATTACTCACTGGGGTAGATACGACGCGATCCACGACATGCCTGTTCACGTGGGCTATGAAGTTCTCACAGGTACTATTTTCAAAATGTCCGTTGCAGAGAAGAATTGAAGACACCAAGAAGATGGGTGGGAGGAATATACATCCGAGTGGGCTCGCGAGTACCGAAAGGGACTTCCAAGACCAAGGATTACTGGGGGGTATAGTTGGGAGTACCGGTGACGGTGGATCTTCAGATTGCAAAGACGACGAAAACCGGTGAGCTGTGGGTTCTGTATCTGTTGAAATGAACTGTAATGAGGACATCCAGAGTACTAGGGAGGTTTAGTCGAAGAATAGAGTCATGATGCATTGCGAAGCACGCACCTATCTCAATCAGACTGACTACAAATACTAATATAGTAACATGCACGGGCAGGATTTGAGGGCCGGATCGTCGTGGGAGGGCAAGAGAGAAGAGTACGCCATATAGCAACACTGTAGCAACAGCATACCGCAACCCCGTGCTGGTAGGAAGCGGTATGACCCATAGAAAGAAGCGGGAAGTTGGCGTGGTTGCAGTGATTTGGAAAACAAACATGAGAGGTGCAAAGATTGCACCGATAGAGTGGTACAGGAGTGACTGCCACAAAAACATTCATTAGTGGAGTTTTCAGCAAAAGTAGCAGGGGAAAAAAACCTTGGGCATGATAGCGATGTGGTCGTTGGAGATAGAGTGAGGGGGCAGAATGGGAGACTCCTGAGCACCAAGCAGAGACTGCCTTATATAATGGACGAAATCTGAGACATTTTCTCGCCGACCATCGGAGTGGCTATGATCCTGCTGCCGATTTGTGTCCCACGCCTCAATACTTACCAAGAACTGAACGAAGTTGAACGTTGAACGTTTGAACGTTGAACGCCTGAATACCTTGAAGAAGTTGACTTGAATTCAAATCTCATATCAAAAGGTTGATATGAGAGTCCACTAGAATATCTGCCCGACCACCAAACAGCCTTTCTATCGCCACAGGAAAACTCCAAAAACATGAGTGCAGATACAACTAGTACTGTATGAGTCCGCAAAGTCGCCTTCACAGGCTCCGACCGCGTAGGCAAAATCATCGCTATCGAATGTGCCAAACACCTCAAGCCCTGCGTTCTCGAACTAGGTAGAAAAGCACCACGCGATCATTTTATACGATGCGCCCGTCGGGGTGGCAGCTAAACAGATTCTCGCTGGTGCGACGATGCATAGTGAGTAGATATGTATGTCTACGGATCGGAGAGGGTGATCGTGCAGAGACTCGTAGTGTTTTACGAGCCTAGGCTTGGCCCAAAGCTCTGAGCTTGGCCACGCTCGGAAGAGCCTGAGCCTGTCAAAACCTAAAGCCCAAGCTCTACCAAGCTCCTGGTGAGAGCCTGAGGCTCAAAGCTCGAGCCACCTTAGGCACCGCATGTCACAGGATGAGGTGACCTAATAGGATGATTCTTTCGGACGGCTCACTCGAGGCCCGCCACGATGTCAGAAAGGATTATCTATGCCATTTCCAAAAGATTGTTATCAGTCGGAAGTATGGCCAAGTTCAGTTTCCCACTCTGTGGCCTCCGGAGAGATCTTGGTTGAGAGGTCCTGTGGCCAATTCGTCTATGCAGTGACAGTTATCATGTTTGTCACACTCGCGTGCAATCATCCCCTCGTTCAGCTTCATGTCATCCTCGAGAACACCTCCCCTCATCATCCGGAAACATCGCCGTATCCCATGCTCGACTCACTGTATGATTACATACTCAGTGCCCATCCGTATCGCGAGGAACTTCTCCGCGTTCTTGCAGCTATTCTCATTCTACCAGGCTTCCTGACACCATCCCCAGCACATATCGAGCTATTGTTAGATTGGCCCTCAGGTCAAGCGGCATGCATTCCGTACTGGACATCCGTAGTTCAGTGGATGCAATTCGCCTATACCACAACTCGTTCAGGGATTACCTCGTCACCCTGAGTAGATCGCGTGATTTCTACATCGACACGGACGCTCGGAAATATGACATCGCGCAACAATGGCTCCGAAATCTCTCGATTAGTAGAATAAGGACCTACAGGTATGCGGACATCTTCCAATATCCCTAAGTCTTGCCAGTTCTCATACATTCATCTCATTTTCAGTGCCACCCAACTCTATGGTGCGGAAAACACCTTCTTCACAGAATGGGTCTTCTTCTGCGAGACATTATATGAACCAACGCAACATTTATTGGCTGATTTGCGAAACGTTGATATCGCTTCTACACATCTAATGAATCAAGGAGACTATGATAGGATAATTAAAGGATTGGGACGGCGGATGATTGGAATCCCAACACATGTGAGATCAACCAACTACCTTTCTCTATCCGAATTGATCGCGTACTCACCGCACCTGTTTACCGCACCCCAGAAGAGCGATGTAATCGACAACAACACACGAAAATTGTTGGGCCGCCCCGATTGTTTCCATCTTGAATGGCCTTCGGGTGTGTCTCCACAATTAGACGTCATAAATTGGGTTATTCGACGAACTTGTCACGAAGTGCTGAGCGTCTATCGGAGACGGCGAAGGCAGCGAGCAGTGGTAGCAAGCTAGGAGAGGAGCAGCGGGCTCAACTCAGGCAGAGATAAGGCAGAACTGGTCCCAACGACAAGTTAGATCTATTGTAGAGAAGGAAAGCGAAGGAGACTGTACTACTCACCTGGTCCCAACGACAAGAGGTCAAGATGAGGGACCAGGTGAAGACTAGCTAGCTTATATACCTATCCTACAGTCAGAGCTGGAGTCGGAGTGGCTACCTATGAGTCGTGTATGAGTAAGTATGAGTCAAGGATGAATAAGGAATGAGTCGGTATGAGATAATGGGATGGCTGCGCAATGTGGGTTAAGGCTGCGCGATGGTGGGTTAAGAAAGGGAATCGTGAGAAATAAGGATGTATAGTAAATGACCGTGGGAAAAGGACATGTGATAATCATGTGAGCAAATGGTGGAGGGAAAAGTGGCGTCTTCATGACAGAACTATAACACACCCGCTGCTGTCCCATCGGTCAGAACCATGGCATTGGCGACCCAGCGCTGATCAAATGCCACTCCTCACGGACTGCCACTGTCATCTCGCGAATGGGACAGAGTCGCATGACCCAGGGCACCTTGCGTACCAGGAAGCTTGTTTGGAAATCGTCAAGGCTGAGATCTCTCGTTTAAAGCAGCTTGTAACAAGCCTACCCCTGGAAAGCTGGCCCGAGATGCGTGGTATATTCCAGTATATGATGCAGTCATCACTTTTAAGGCACTACCGTCTTGATATAGAGCTTATCTCGCTCTGCCAAGTTTTTGTTGAAGTCTCAATGGGTGTCCTGCTCAAGGGGCCTGGCCTGGAACAAGGAAAGAGGAATATACTCGTGTGGATCGAGGTGAGTAACTTGTTTCT